ATTTTTGTTGACTTAAATGAAAAAGAAACTACTTTGATGTTGAATTTATTAACTGCAGCAAGGTTACTAGTAGGTCTATATTGGAAGAAAGATTCTTTGCCTACTTTAGAAGAATGGATATTTAAAGTATCTAGTTTTGCAGAAATGGCAAAAATTTCTGCTTATTTAAAGGATCATACACAAGAAAGATATATTACTGTATGGGGAAGGTGGATAGATTATATTCAGAAAAAATATGGAATTAAAAAGTTTTATTTATTTTATGAATGAATATCAAATATTATAGAGAATTGTTTTATAAGTTATGGAGTTAAAGGTTAATTATGATATTTTTTTTCTTTCTCTTTTTTTTTCTTTTTTTTTAATTATTATAATTTTCTTTTTCTTTTTTTTCTTAACCCTGTATTCTGCTCTGGGAAGTGAAGGGAGGGGGGGTGGGGGTGGGAGGGAGGGTAAGGGGGGGTTCTCTATTTTAAAATTTTATTGTATTTTTATAAATGATTGTATGTTTTAAAAAATAAAAATTTTCAATAAAAAAAAATAAAGTGAAGAAGAGAAGTCAAAGAAAGCATGGATGACTTGAACTGCTGCTTTCAGTTCAATAGAGCTAGTGGTGGAAGAACAACTTGCTATCTTCCCTATAGAGCAGTGGTTCTCAACCTTTTTAATGCCACGACCCCCAACCGGTTGTAAGTCGAGGACTACTCAACCAGTCGTAAGTCGAGGACTACTCAACTGGTGCAGCACCGTTTGCAGAATGGGACTTTTGGCGGGCTCAGCAGGGCAGAGACAGCCTGGACAATTCCTATTGGCTTTTGAAAGCCAATAGAATTAGACTCTATTCAAGAGAGTCTATTCTATTGGCTTTCAAAAGCCAATAGAATAAAAGGGAGTAGCACAGCTAAGGAAAAGGGGAAAAAAATGGCGGACTGCGTTGTTTAGCGACCCCCATTAAATGGTCGTTCGACCCCAAATGGGGTCCCGACCCACAGGTTGAGAACCACTGCTATAGACAAGAACTATGTGAGAGAGAAACTCAGTCCCTTTTTTGATAGAGCCTCCATGATAGACTATGTAACTAGCTTGTTAGGGAAAAAAGTCCATGGTTATAGGAAAGGAAAGCTGGAGCCAGAAATATTGCGTGTGAGTGAAATTTCCTGGGTTTGCTTCTCATAACTGCTCTCTTGCTGCCTTTGTCTATAATTTCAAAAGATGTTTGGCAGAGAATTTTTTTAAAAAATTTATTTATTTTGGATGACATTTCACTGTGACGCATTATAGGTATTTTTCCAAGAGCTAATTTCACTTCAGTAATGAATGACAACAACAAAGAAACCAAACAGTCCCTCGAAATGGATGTCAATCCCATCTCTCAACTTGCAAGTATAAAGATGACCTTTGGGAATGTTACAGCTTCATCAAGACCAATTAGCAGGAGATGCAGCCAGTTTTGTCTAAGCATTAACTACTAGTCAGGATTGGCTTTTTGGAGTGGCTAATGCTAGCACAGAACAAGGCACCGACCTAATTACTCTGTTGCAAGAGCAGAAGAGGCCTTGTGAATGTTTGCTTGGCAAGTCTGTCTCATTAAGGATAATTTTTTTCAAGCAAACACAAGGACTTCTAACAGTAAAACAACAATAACAACAACAACAACAACAACAACAACAATAATAATATATGATAACCTGTGGCCACAATATTTCTTTTGCTGATGTGGGAAACTCAGTGATGCTGTCCATACTAAGGGATATCTTATGATGTCGTGAAACTGGTATTATTTATTTGCCAAGTCAGTTGTGATTCCTTGATTGGAAGGCAGTTGTTAAATATTCCTTTGTTAGAACATAATTAAACCAATGTCTTGGCACCAAGAAAGTTTGATAAGTGAAAGAACAATGATAGCAAAGATCCTGGATACAGGGTGCTCCTTCTCCTCCTCCTCCTCCTCCTCCTCCTCCTCCTCCTCCTCCTCCTCCTCCTTCTTCCTCTTCTTCTTCTTCCTTCTCCTTCTTCTTCCTTCTCCTTCTCCTCCTCCTCCTCCTCCTCCCCTCCTCCTCCTCCTTCTCTTTCTCTTTCTCTTTCTCTTTCTCCTTCTCCTTCTCCTTCTCCTCCTTCTCCTCCTTCCTGATTTTAAGTTCCCACTTTTTAAAGAATGGCATTAAATATTGCTTAGTAAAACCTTCAGAATGGAAGTATTACCATATCAATCTTACTTTTTATAATTTGGAAAAGCAAACAGGAAGCCACAACTGACAACTAGTTTTATATTTAATACAAATTGAGAGCCAGTTGTTCTAGTTATTAAGGCACCAGGCTAGAAAAAAGGAAGACTGTGAGTTCTACTCCTGCCTGAAGCATGAAAGCTGGTTGGGTGACTTTGGGCCAGTAAGTCTCTCTCTCTCAGCCACCTCACCTCACAATGTTGTTGTTGTGTGGAAAATAGAAAGAAAGAGTATTAGATATGTTCACTGCCTTGAGTTATTTATAAAAATAATAAAGGTGAGATTAAAAATGAAGAAAGGAATAACTATAGGATAATCCTGGTTTTGATTACATGGACTGGCATATTGCCTTGGTCCTGGACATACATATAGCATGGTCTAGAAGCTCACAAGATAATTTAGGGTCATCCAAAATCACTAAATTGGTGTGGCAGAGAAATAGGAGAAGGAAGGTGTATATGCCACTTTGAGCAAAAAAACTCAATAGAAATCAATGAAAGAAACAAGATATGTTAAATCATCAATTGTTATGCCAGGGTACAGAACCAAATTTCATATTAATAATAGTCATTTTAGGATAACATATTTATACTACAGAGAGAAACAGAGTGAGATAGAGATAGAGGTGATAGAGAGAGATAGATAGATAGATAGATAGATAGATAGATAGATAGATAGATAGATAGATAGATAGATAGATAGATAGATAGATAAACTACAGCAATGTTCTAATTAGCACGCAAGTTAAATGTGGGCTGAATGATACATCTATTAAGTGGATCCACAGCTGGTTTGCAAAGGATACTTTAAAATGTTTGTTATATCCTTGTCAAATCAGAGGGAGGTTTTACATGAGATGCCAAAAGAGTGCAGTCCTGGACCAGATACTTTCCACCAGTTTTATTAATGAATTGAATGACAAGGTGGAGAAAATGCTTATTAAATCTGGCTATGACACTTAATTGGATAAGATAATTCAAACCCTTGAAGAGATATGAAATTTAAACATCTTGATAGAACTGAGAAAAATGGATTAAAAAATAAACCAAGAAAGGCAATTTTTTTAAAAAAAAAATCTAGGAAAATGAAATAAATGCATCACAATAAGATCAAGGATACATGGCTTGACAACAGTCCATGTCCAAAAGTCCTTGAGATTGTAGATGATCATAACCTGAATGTGAATCAGCAATATAAGGTGTCTGAAAAATAGATAAATACATGCATACATTTGAGGCTGCATAAATACATTAATCATGATAATCATTCCATTTTATTTTGAATTAGTACACTTCACCTCACCTATGCAGTCCAGTTTTGAATACTATATTTTAAGAAGATTCAGACAAATTAAAATGGGACCAAAGAAAGGCAAAGAAAATAACTGGGGAGTTAGAAACTCAACTCTAGGGAGGGAATTAAAGAAATGAAAATGTTTAGCCTTGAGAAAACTAAAGGAATTCATGATAGCAGTCCTAAATGAAAAGAGTAGGTCACGCTCTATTTCTATAATTCCATTAAAAATGATTAAAGAGATTCTATCAGGATCATATGTGAGTTTTCAATATTTCTACATTAATGTGATCCAAAATGTGTTCTGTTCTCCATACAAGTCCTAACACTAAAGAGGACCCATTTAAGCACATGAATCAAAATTATTATACGTCTTTATTTTTATTTATTTGTTAACACCTATTGTAACATGAAACACAATGTATTTGTTGAGGAAAATGATTTGTACTTGATCTGCCTGAAAAATGGACTGGTAGAATCCATAGTGCAAAAGGTTTTATGATCTTTTCCAGCCTGGTGAGCATCAACAATAAGAAACTTCATTTGTTGATACTGTGACATATATGATATTCAGACTTCAATAGTGACTATTCAGAATTCTGTTCTTTACATATGGTAGGACCTCCCACATTCATACTTGATTATCATCTCACTGATTGAAACACCTGGCTCTAATTTCCTGTTCCACTGTATTCTTAATCCTACAAATTCCAATGAACTGTTAATCTTATAAATTCACATAATTTTGCCACACACAAATAAGTAGTTTTGGATCATTTTCCTCAAAGAATGGAACAAGAAGATGATATTATCTCTGTATAAAATTACATGTGCATTCATGTTGCCAACTAGTATACCCCTAACACAATGTCTAGTATTTCTTAAATATCTATTCATCTATAATGTGATTACAAGCATACATTGATTGACACTGGGCTATGAAAATGAGTTTCAGTTTTCAGTAAAAAATGTATAATATTGTACAGTATGTATGTATATATACACACACGTTACATATATAAAATTTTGCTTTCACTTTGTCATTATGGGGTACTGAGTGTAGATTAATGAGAAAAAATGGATTTCAACAACTGTAGCTACAGCATAACAAAATTGTGGGGTACAAATACTTTCTGAATGCAATATGTGTGTGTGTGTGTGTGTGTGTGTGTGTGTGTTAGTTATAAATAGTGGAGTATTTTTTAAAAAAAAATGTGAAGAAATAATTATATGTCTTGGAAATATTAGACTTGCTATTTAAAAAGACTGATTCTTAATCTACTAATGATATTAATATCTATGCCAGAGTATAGTAGAATGGTTGTCAGATAACTAATGGAAGAAAGGAAATTCATCTAGAATTTACTTCTGAATGGGCTCAGAGGTGGGGGAGATAAGAGTTATTTGTTTAGTAAGGGGAACAATGCAAGAGAAATGGCAGCAAATTATAATAATTGATTATATTTTTGTTTTAATCAATAGGTGAAATTGGGTGGAGAGGCTCCCAATTCCAATGTCATCCACATACCTAATGGCACTGCTGAAAGTAGCAGCAACTGCAAATGGAAAAGCTCCATGGGAAAGTACAGTACTGAATGCCATCTCTTAGACTTTGCCAAATCTGAGCGCCCACTTGTAATCAACTTTGGGTCAGCTACCTGACCTCCCTTCACAAACCAGCTGTCTGCCTTTGGCAAGTTGGTGGAAGAGTTCTCTAGTGTGGCTGACTTTCTGTTAGTCTACATTGATGAGGCTCACCCATCAGATGGCTGGGCTGCTCCTGGTATCTCATCTTCATTTGAAGTCAAGAAACATAGAAACCAAGAAGACAGATGTGCTGCTGCTCACCAGCTTCTAAAGAAGTTTTCTTTGCCACCACAGTGCCAGATAGTGGCTGATTGCATGGACAATAATGCCAATGTGGCTTATGGGGTCTCCTTTGAGCGGGTATGCATTGTACAAAGACAAAAAATTGCTTACCTGGGGGGGAAAGGCCCTTTTTTCTACAATCTTCAAGAGGTTCAACTTTGGCTGGAACAAAACTTCAGGAAAAGATGAAATCCAAATTTACCAGATAAGAAGTTAAGAGGACTGTCCTTTTAAAATAATGCAAAAAGAAAACAAGTTGGATTTTGTTTTGAATAGGATTTTTCTGCCTTTGGGGACAAAACAGGCCTAGTAAAATGTGCAAAGTGGTTACAAACAACAATGAATTCTCAGTGGCTCTCTGAAAAAGGAGCTGGGAATTTTTTTCCCTTTCATAGAACAATACTTCTGAGATTTTTAGCCATGAGATAGTAGAAGCACCCAAAACCATTATTTCCAGAAAGATTATGAAGAATGATATATCACACTCTGAGATAAAAAGCACTTTGTCCTTCAGAGACTGTCCTGTTACATTCCATCATAGCATGTTCAGAATCTAAAGCTTGCCAGGATGATGAAATAATTATTTTAGTTTGTTGTAGTGAGGTACCATTTGGTAAATTTTCCAGATTCCAACATCTACTGTAAATTGGATAGCTAATTGCCTTATTAATTGCTGAAAATAAGAACTGGTATTCACTCTGCTATAATACTTTTTTGTTTTTGCAATGTAGTATAGCTGCAATTTGGAAATCTTTTACTTTGATTCTATCTCTTTCAGTGCTTCAAAGACAAAGAATTCTGTAAGAGCAGGTTATACCCTAACTCTGCATTGCATGATTAAACTGAAATATCTCCTAGCAATAGTCATTGTAGAAATTACTTTAATTGCTCTGATTTTTTAGTTTATATCACCCAAAGTGAATTTCTTAATAATTTTGAAGTAGTGAAGACTGTTATGTTTTGGGCCAATTCGGACAATCTAGCTCAAATGGATTTCTACCATTTGTTGTCTATAAAAGAAATAATTTCTGTTGAAAAAAATGTCTAAATCAACTGACAGTTTCTTTTGTCTGCCCCAAACCCAATTTTCAGAATTTTGCTGTGAGAGATCAGTATTTGACTTATTATGTTTGAACCTGGATATCTCCAGGACAGTTATGCAATCAGGTCTGCAATTGATTTCTCATATCCAATTCCTATAACTGTTTTTTGAAAAGCATGCTTCAGTAAACATCAGTTACTGCCCCCAAAAAAAAAAATAGCTTGTGCTTTCTGCCAGAATAAACTAATTTTTGAAAGTAAGCTCTTCAGGTGAAAAATATTAACACTTGAAGTATTTTCTTTCAACTTAAACTAGCCTTTAAGACACATCTCATGGCAATCTCATTTCTCATTATCACATTATTTGGGGTAAAAACACAAGGATTTCAGAGGGTGCAATACTATCTGTAAATATTTACCCTTTGCTGATCCCACATGAAGCTTTCAACTGGTGGATCATTACAAGTGAAAAAGTGCCTGTGATCTTGGAATTGGCGTGGGTTGGCACTTTGTATTGGATCACATAAGGAACAATTGTGAGAATATTACCTTGCATTCTTTCTGCACTGAAGTAATGTCTGAGCAATGTATTCCAAGGTTATCACTGTGTAAGAAAAAATATTGTGTGTATCCACAATATTTTGGGAACATTGATGGAAAAATGCCCAGAATCATACACAATATAGAAACAAACTTGTTTTATGTTAAGTCTGGATGCATGGATAGAAACTATCAGATTTATTTGCCTTTTTTTTTCAAATTCAACAACAGTGCAGTTAATATTAGCTGTTAGTATATCTTTTTTTTAAAAAAAACACAATTAATTGCATTTGAAAATAGTGCAAGTGAGGTATCTTTCTGTCATGATAAAAAAGATAGAATGAAAAGGGGATGATGTTCTACTTTATTGGGACCGAGATTTTATTCATAAATTAATGTGATTGGCATGATGCAATTCTTGTTGATGCATTGTTTACCCTAATAAGCTGCATTATTGTGGTTAGCTTTTAACCACATTAATTTAATGTGAAACAGATTTCTGCTTTAGGACTGATGAACTGCAGAGCAGCAGAAAGCCAAATCCTTTGTTCACCTTCCATTTTTAAAGAAATAATTTCCCCTTAAATATTAATTTTGGCCTCATGGCTACTATCTCTCTTCATCTGCCTGTCTCTGTACCCCACTCATTTAATGGGTGTCAAAAACAGAAGGAGTTTTGATGAAACAGTTGGGATGTTCAATTTTGAAGGAAGAAGGCAAAGTGGAATGGTTTTGAGAGAAAGGCTGGGTAGTATTTTACTGAAAGATGCATTGAAAGAAATATAGTGAGTAGAATTGCCCTGTTAGCATAATGGATCATTTGCCCATTTTTATTCAAAGTACATAAAAATTGTGAAAGAAAAGAGAAAGGGTAAAAGTCCTTTTTCTGAAAACAAAACTCAGGGAAGGGCAAGAATACATTAACAAGCAATTAAATTTCACAAAGACTTAAAATTTTTCACTGCTTCCTTGTGGAACCATTGTTTTGATGTTGGTCAAGAATTCTTCTAATATATACAAGACATATTTTAGATTGTGTTCCCCTCCAATGAAGGAATACAAACTTGACAGTGGGGTATGAATACTATTTTTTTCTATGTCCACTTTTTTTCTTTGCTTCCCTTTTACAGGTATACAACACATGGGCACACAATTATAGAGAAAGATGTCAGAAGAGCTGAGAATGAATGTACTAAAAAGCTGACAGATGGAGCATGAGGAGGTGGCATATGTTGTTACAGTTTGAAAATTTTAAGGACTTGGTGAAGGTATAGAGGCAGACAGTTGCAGGAAAGTAGTATTTTAATTTAGGATGGGGATCATTGCTAAAATATGAAACAAGCAATAATTAATATAAATGAAATGCTCATCTTTTTAAAAAGTAACCTGTTGGCAGGGATGCAAAACATATTTCTTAGCAAATGATTTCAGTGGCATTCTTTTAAAAATGATCTTCCAGTGAACAGATTCCCTAATGTTTCCCCTATTTATTTTTTTTTACTTCTCCTTATTTTGCCATTATAACATACAGATAGTTCTTGACTTATGACTGCTAATGGAGCCTGGAATTCTGTCATATAGCAATTTGATGGTAAGTCAAGGCCACCACTGGACAGAACCAATTTTATGACCATTTTTGTGGCAGTAATTAAGCAAATATGGTCATAAAGCAAACCCTGCAGCCATTAAGTGAATGCTACAGCAAATACCATAGTTATTAGGTGAACCATTGTCAGCAATGGGCACCTTTTGATGGAAACCAGTGGTAAATGCTGATTTCTGCCACAAAAAATGTATAAATCATAGTTGTGTGATGATGGGACAAATGGCCATAATGCAGGAGAGTTCCAAATGCCCAAAATACAGTAATTGACTGGTGGCGGGGTGGGTGGGTGGGTAAGGGCAGTCCGAACTGCCCTCCCCATCAAAACTTCAAACCTGAATTGCAAGTACCTTTCTGGAGGTCCATTGTAACTTTTGTCACTAATTGACGGGTCGTAAGTCAAGGACTACCTATATAATTTATCAATTGAAGGCCTTATTTCTATTCATATTCATTTAATAGTTCGGCACATAATTCTCGGTGAATTACATTTTGGGATTGCTATCTAATCCACTTAGTGTAGCATTTTGCTTCAGACAGCCTTTTTGACTTAAAGCTGAATCCCATTAAGGCTCAGTCCAGCATAATCATTGCGTTGATGAAGAGGTTTTCCCTACTGCATGTCTAATAATAATTAACTTTTAAACCAGAATGGCAATCTAGAACTTGAACTGAGTTTATTTGTTAGTCATCCAGGTGCCATAAGACTCCTGGTTGCTTCTGAAATCCCATTCTCATACTACGTTTATTGACCCTACATTTACACATCTTAAATGACAAGTACCTTCTCTGATCAATTATTTATTTGATTACATCTAAATTAACTAGGTTATAGAATGTTGTCATCTTTTTAAGAAAAAGAAATATTTAGTGTACATCTCATTTTCCCACTGATTTATACCATTAAAACCTTATTGTTCATGTAAATCATTCTATGTTTTGAACAATTACTCAAATTATTCCATTTCTTTTTTTCATAAATGCTTTATTTTCAAACCTGGGATGGAAATGAAATAAGTAAAACAAAACAAAAGCACTATTTTGAATGGAGACAAAAATGGTTAATTGTTATGCTCTTCTTTGTATTCATTATTTGTTTCATTTTTTTTTTCTTTTTGAGCATTGCAAACCTTCATCCTCATCCCCTTTAACTCTCTTTAATATGACAGTTTTTTAAGAGAGAAAGACCAAAACATTTTGTTTGATTGCTATAATATGCCTTAACTCAGATGGATTGAAAATGACTTTAATATAATTTAGCACATTTAAAATCATACAGAAATTTTGATTTAGTGTATCAACCAGTACCATAATTATGACAAAGATACAGAATAACAGAATTGGAAGGGACCTTGGAGTCTCCTAGACCAACCTCCTGCTCAGAAGGAAACAACATCATTTCAGACAAATAGTTATCCAATCTCTTCTTAAAAACTTCCAGTGTTGGAGCATCCACACCTTCTGGAGGCAGGTTGTTCCACGGATTGTTCTAAATGTCAGGAAATTTCTCCTTAATTCTAGGTTACATCTCTCCTTAATTAGCAATCTAGAACTAAGCTCTGTGTCTTAGCACTTTCTTTTCTTCTCTTCCCTCTGAAAAAGAAAGAGAAAAATATATAGAGGAGGCTATATTTCCATCCCAGTCAAAACTGTCAATGAAATACAAACGTTTTAGATCCACATTGAAAATAGCATTGGATTAGCATGACTTTAAAATAAAATATACAGCTGTCAAACTTTAGACAGTTAAACTTTAGTGTATGTTTTAAATGTTTCTCAAACAACATATGTATAAGCAGATGGACATAGAATGGTGTTCCTACATTCCATTTTATTATTCAACTGCATTCAAAGAACCTCCCAGAGATCAATGTGGAACTTACCTTCACATCATCCAAAAAGATCACTCTAAGATAAGAACATTGCTTTCATTTTGGAATAATTTGTTGTCAGGGAATATATTTTGCAGTTCTTCTATGTTTTGAACTGAGCATTTGGCAAAAGCAATAACTTGAAAAATGTCATGAAAAGCTATAAATTTGCACTCAAAGTTAGCACTGAGCCTGGCTAATCTTTAAAAGTTCGGTGTAGGCCAAGGGGATTTAGGTCTTTTCTCCACCCCTCAGTGAAGTGTTTTCCTTCTGGCCTCAAGAAGGGAGAAGAACATGTTTCTTTGAAAAAATCACTGCCTCCAAACTTCCAAAATGAGTTGCTGCCCTCAGTTTGTTGTGGGAGATGCCATGGGAAAAGGTGGTGATGGCAGTAGGTGTAGGTGATAGGAATAGTGCAGGGAAGAGGATCTTTGTCTCCTCAGGATTTTTACTTTCCAGCAAATGGAGAATCTAGGTAGGAATTCCAACCTTCTGGGATGCCTTCCAAATCTGACCCTAGCTAAAAAAAAGGAGAAAACAAATGTGGGCTGATGGGAAATTATTTCCCTCCATAGTCACAGTAGACATGGCCAAGGTTATGTTCTTGGACAAGACAGGGGTCTCCTGCAGTGGACCTATTAGAGCCATGCAGATTGTCAACCTTTCTCGGGCTTCTCCTATTAAAATCAGAATGTTCATTTGGGAAATTGCATTGCATTTTCCAATGGAAAACATGACTTTTCCGTCAGATCACTGATCCAGTTTCATTCTGCCTCAGTCTCAGTCTGACACCAAGATGGAGATTCCATTGGGAGGACATGTCCTCAACATATAGTTAGCAGGCCATCTCAATGTTGAGTCAGGGAAAATGTGTGGATGAGGCCTCAGTCTTATCCAGAACAGTCTGACTTGAAATCAAGTATGATCACAGCTAGATCCCAACCATTCCAAACAATGGCAGATCTAGTATTCAGTCTTAGATGCCACTTAGGAAACAAGCTCTGTTACGTCTTGTATTTTGAGCTCTGTGAAAATATAGTCTGTGAAAAACCAATTTCATGCCTCTTAACATTAGACTAGCAGTATACTTTGCTTATATTTTACACTTACGACAAGGCACATAATTGAATCAGATCTGTACTATTTTTAAAAACAAAATATACTATAAATCTGTAAGAAGGCTTAAGGTGAGATCACTTATATGAAGGGTATTTGGTAAAGTATATTTTTGTGAGCTTATTTAGTGTCCTGTGTGATCTTTTGTGTTGGCAGACGTTGGCTTTAGATTTTTAAATCCTACATTCAATAATATAACCAAAGCAATAAAAGATGTATCAGGTAGGGAATACAGGCCAGTCATATTCATTTCTTTACCATAATCAACTCAGAACCCATATGGACCAAACTTTGGCTGGACCCAAGACTTGGTTTGCAAGGATGAGAAGTTTAGATGAAGCAGAGATGCTGGTGTTTTCATGAAGACCACTAACAAAAGAGTACCATGCTCAGTTGGTGATCAGATACTTTCTATACTGGCATTTCTTTTTTCTTCTTATATCTGTGGGTTTAGAAATGTGGGGGTGTTTGAAATCCATTTGATATGAGTCCTGGGTCAATATGGTGGAGAACGTTTGTTTATGAATATGCATGTTTTATTCTTAAATGTCATAAATACTCTCTCTGTAGAAAAATGAGCAAAACATGTTACAATATTGGTGCTGTGTGGACCGTATACTTTATAGAACTGTTTTTTCTCCTTGTATTTTAATAAAAGTGGAAGAAAAACAATAAGTATTCTCTCTCCTTTTTAAAATTATTGTAGGAGATATGTTTTTGAAGGCAATATGAAAACAATATCCACTTTATATTGTACAAGTTTTGCAGTAGCCTGATTTGGGATGATTCAAATAAAATATAATAGCTGGCTGAAGCCCAATTCATTCAGATTTACTAATCAAGGCTGAAACCATAGTGGGTAAATTGATGTGGGTGGAGGGGGAAAGCTTTAGATGTCTCTTTATCAAGGACTAGAGGGAGATGAAGGAGGCAGCAGAAGAGATGAGTGACCTCTCTAACAATAACATCTTTTTGGCTATTCAATATTTTGTTAGTTTAGTATTATGAGTCTAGGAGGATCAGTCTGAATCACTATTGTTTCCATCTATAATGCCTTTGGGTTTGATTCACAAGGCACATGAAGGACCCCAAAGCCTGTAAGATCATAATGGCAGCAATTACCTGGACTGAAATTCTGTGTGATGCCAGAGCATAAAAGGTTGTTGTTGTTGTTAAATAGGAAGTTCAGTATCAGATGCTTGGGCTTACCATAATACATACTGTCATCAAGCCCACTACCTTTTCTGTATTGCTGATTTC